TATAGGTAGATTGAAATAATAGATATGTGGAAAAACTGAGATATTTTGTAGAAGGCCTTATATATTATCTTACATTGTATAAAAATCTTTCATTTCTTAACATAACAAATTTTATCAACATAAAAACATTAACATGAACCCCTGTAAAAAGACAGATGTAACCAGACATAACAAATAGCACTTGTGTTTTTTTAAACAAAATTGTTAACTTGTAAAAAAAAAACGTACAAAAAACGTAGAAAACTATAGGCCTAACAAACCATGTAAATTATTCACAGTTTAGTTTCACGAGTTTGAGCGACAGACAAAATTAACAGATAACACTGATATTGCATAAAAAATGAAATATCTTTAACTATAATGTTGTCCGACGTGTGAACAAAATTTGCAAGACAGCTGTTTATTGAAACAATGCAATATTTAACATTTTAAGGCTTATTTTACTTGGGCAAGATATGTTTCATCAGTACAGTGAACATTTTTTTAAATACTAAATTGATAATTAGTTTCATGTTACCATATTTATCATAATAACATATCCCATGACCAGTCTACACGTTTATTTTTGTGTCTTTTTTTTCTTGTTTTTACCTACATATAATATACAAGATGTAATATTAAGATTACAATTTATTTACACGTATGTATATTGTAAACATGTTAGTGTTTTGGTTTTTTTTTTTTTAATTTTCAGTTTTCATTACACTTAGAAAACAGGGATAAAAAACCAACACAAATAGCCAAAAAGTAGAAATTGTATACATATATATATATATGTAGATAGATAAATATATATATTATTATAGAAGATGGAATGAGAAGCATATGTTTAGAGGTATAAATATAGTGAAATTTTACACTGAAGTCTAAGGGACTAGTCATCTATGTAGCCATGAATTACACACCTCTCTATAAAAATCTAAATGATCATTTGATTTCAATGTAAGATAAGTATTTGTACAAAGTTTTTTGGGCTGAAAATTAGTAAAAGTTTTATAATATTGAAAAATGATTACAAAATGTATGTATGCCATTATTGCTCTGAATTACTACAAAACTGGCTTACTATTTTATATAAAACCCTGTTGTTACAAAAAACAGACTCCCCGGCACAAATGAACAGAAAGATTAAGTTGTATGTTAAAATTATGATATAAACATAAAATAATGTAATAAAACAACTGAATGCCAGTGTTAAAATTGTCAATTTACGTATAACATAATAATTACATAATCTGATTAAACTTCTCAAGTTGTTACGAGTTTTAGATACTGTTACAAATTCAAGGGAGTTAACAAGTACTGGCATTAAATAAACAACATTCATTTGAATCACCTCCCTTGCCATTACAATAAGATGGCAGTATGATATGTGTGCAATACGAGCCAGAAAAGGCCAACTCAGTACTGGTTAACTGCCTATACATCATAATAGGACATTCTTACATATATTATGGAATACGGACACATCATATTAATAATATTCTAACCTAATTGTGGGGGACTTCAAAAGCAACATCCAAAATAGTTTATACAGTAAATTCAATTACTAAATCATTACAGTAAACAAAAGAATACAAAAAATAAAGATAGGCTATAAAAGGAGTACACCGGTAAAACATAATTGGTTTGAGTTTATTTTCTGGTATAATTCCAGCCCAGCTATAAAAGTTAACATTATTATGTCTCAACTGAGATTCAGACAAAAGGAGAATTTTTTCCAGTTTATGTTTATGTTAAAATTGCACAAAAAAATATAACAAAAGTGATACATGAGCATTTTTCTTAAATAAATCGCTGAGGAAATTTTTTGTGGACCCATGACAAAAGCAAAGAATACATAAAATGGTGACACAATTCTACCTATAAAAAAAAACCACATGGAAACGTATATCTATGGAAACGTATTACTGTTTCTGTCTACATAAACTACAGAGATTCTATGGCAAATTATGAACTAATGAAAACGATGAAGATGTGGTAACTTAACAAAACTACATTAACCATTACAATTATTTAATAAACTTCTAAATTTAATAATTCACTTTTACCGAATAAAATAGTCAATTTTTTACAATGAAATTTTCTTAATTGTCAGTAAGTTTGTATAAAAAAACTTAACTTGCGTAACATTCATAATCAATTCAAAATAAATTAAACATTAAAACTTAGATGATATAGTATAATATGGTTATCTTAAACAATAAAATCTATATTAGAAATTCTATATGTGCTAAACATTCTAATTAAACACTAAACATTACACCTTGATTCAGGATGACTAGGACCTGTGATGACAAAACTGACTTAAATAATATTCCAAAAGTCATTGATTCTTATTGGTTGTTACCTAGATCAAATTTATCATTCAACCAATGATCAAGAAGCTTATATCTGGCCGACTGGTTACAAAAGTCAGTTTTCTAACCACAGAGCCATGCCATAAAATCAATAATCTTGATACATTGTAGTCTACAAGAAAGTGAAAGTGATCAAATGAAATATTTATTCCTAAATTTCTATTTCGTTTCTTAGTGTATTGCTCTTAGCGACGACCACTACGTTATTGTTTCTTCTGCTGTTCCTCATCTGATTGCTTGAGAGGAATGATAGAGACCGGAACCGGAGCGTGATTGAGGACGTAGCTGCTGCAGGAACCGAGGAGGAACTTCTTAAAGCCACTCAACCCACGTGAACCCATTACGATACTATCACAATTCAGCTTCTCGCACTGTGTCAGGATAGTGGTCTCTGGTGACTCGCCACAATACTCATCAAACTGACCTTTAACCTGAAATGAACAAAAAGATCTTAAAGCTTCAAATAATAAACTCATCAACAGTACAGAAATGTACAACTGCATAGTTCTGTAGTGTTAAAAACTTTATTTCACGGGTCTTGGGCTTGAGTCCAAATCAGACTGTACATTTTTTTCACCCTGTCAGATTTAGCGCCCAACCTGGGATCATGATGGTATTTAGTTTTAGTCTACTTACTCAACTCTCTACAGCCATAATAATTCTGAAAAAACAAGAGGGCCAGGATGGCCCTGAGGTCGCTCACCTGTATATAGCCCCCCCCAATCCCGGGCCAATTTTTACCCAAGGGCTTTTATTTGTTTATTTGAACAGACTTGGTAGACACACATAAGAAGATGTTTCATGCTAAACATCTAAGTTCTAGCTCATTGGGTTTTTTAAAAGAAGATTTTTAAAGTTTTTACTATACACATATAGTTAAAAACAATGACACCCCTGGGGCAGGGCCAGTTTTGACCCCGGGGCTTTTATTTGAACAAAGTTTGTAGATATTTACTTAAAGATGTTTCATGCTTAATATCTAAACTCTAGCTATTTGGGTTTTTTCAAAGAAGATTTTTAAGTTTTTGCTATACACATATAAAGAAAATCAATGACCCCCCCCCCCCCCCCCGGCGGGGCCAGTTTTGACCCCAGGGCTTTTATTTGAACAAACTTGGTAGACACTCATTAGAAGATGTTTCATGCTAAATATCTTAG